TCTATCCTAGCAAAACCAGGACACCTGAGTATAACCCTAAGCCATTCTCCTCCATGTTATTTCATTAATTTATTTCATATCCTTGCAGGGCAAAACAGTACTTACACTAGATAATGCAACAGCCTGCAGACCTCTTCTCACATGGCTCACTTCTGCTGTTCTACTGCATGGGAACACCCGCTTGTCAGAGAACAGAAAATACAGATAAGTTAGACGACAAAGCAGCAAAGGAAATTCTCTCCTGTGAATGAACTCACTTTACATAACAGATATATGGTAACACTTTTTCTATTAATTTTAAATAAACACTCTTAGAATCTCATCCGAATGATCCATGTGATGCTGATTAATATCACATGTTAATCATATGGAGATGTGGAGTCTTTTTCCTCATGAAGGAGAAAGACTTCAATCATTCTGCTCCCAAATTCACATTTAAGAGCTCAGTTTTACAGTATAACACTGGGTATTTCTCCATTCTTATTTTTTCAGATTATGAAAAAACCCACAAATCAAGGACCTTCACAAAAACCTAGTTTGCCACAGAAGGTTACGCAAATTTAAAAAAAAAAAAAAATAGTAAAACCATCCTAGAGAATATAAATGTATTTTATCGCTTCTTCTTGAGTACCATCTTGCTACCAAGTGATTCTCCTTGTGTTAAAAGCCTTAGTTAGGAAAGGAACTTGTAGCATCTGTCCTCCAACTTCTGTTTGTACAAAAATGGTAATTTTTAATTAACAAATACAATTATCTCTTGTTATTGGAGAAATGTATATTGTTCCAAAAATAAACGTGTAAAAAAACTTATCATTTTTCCTTCAATTTCTAACTCTAGGTGCCTTCAACACATAAAGGTAAGAAAGCAATAAAACCTTTATTTTCAAAGAAATTTATAGTATTTTTGTGCACAGCTGTTGATTTATATAACTGCACTTTATACTGCTAGACAATGTGATTAATATATCAGAAAAAGAAAGTAAAAAGTAGGTCAGTGATATAGGACAATGGTTCTTCAACTCAAATCACCTCCCTGCTTCCACCTTGAAGCATACTGTTCATTCCTCATATTTTAGAGCACTAAATAACACCGTAACCAGATGCAGAAGACAAGAATTATTAGACTTTATCCACCCTGGATATTTACACAAAACTCTCATGACATCTATAGAAATTCCACAGCTGCACAAAACAGAATAAGGTCCATGGCAAACACAGCTCTCAGTATTTGCTCTTCAATAAATCTCACAATCATAAGAGAGACAGTAAATGTTAACATTTTATTTGTTTTGAACATATAAAGGTTGTAACTCTCCAAAACAATTCTTTTAGAGCCATCTTGTGGGGAAAATAAGCAATTTAAAACAATACATGTACTCTAACTGGTTTTCTACCAAAAAGATCAGTGTTCAGTATGACATCTTCTAGTACTCTTTTAAAAAAATAAATGTCTCGGTCACACTGTAAACTTTATACAACATTGTTTAGATCAATGGAACATGGAGGCAGTGCGTTTATGAACAGTCATGTGTTAAAAGATGGGGTCTAGATAAAAAATATATATATCTCATTAACTTAAAGATGCTATTTTTCTGAAGAATGCTTTTAGGCCAGATTCCATTCAAACTCCATCCAACCGCAGCCCTCAAAAAAAGCAGAAACACGTAGAAAAGCTGAGGTTTCTTTCATAGCTCGCTTGGCGAAACGAGGAAATCTGATGGAATTATTCCATCTAACAAAATGGGGTAAAGAAACTGCAAACAAATCTACATGTAGTAGCAGGTTCAGCACTCAAAGCTCAAAAGCTTCTGTTCTTTAACATCCTTAGCACTGCCAATTTATTTAAAGTTTTGGTAATCTTCTGTTAGTTCTGAAGGACTTTAATGCCAGTTGTTTATAAAGAACTCATTAAATGACAGTTTTCTGTTTGTGTACAGTAAAGTGAAGTACAGGGTTGGACAGTCAATTTCAGAATAATCAAAAGGCATGATGCAGCCTTCAGCTACCTAGAGCAATCAAACATCAGCTGCTGCTTGATCTATGTGTCTTGTCTACAAAGCAAAGCGTTTAAATTTTACCCTAGAGAACAAAAGCGCACATGTAGTCCATGTATCTTACTCATTTTTTGACTTACGCCCTATTAAAACACTTCATTTACATAGAACATTAAAGCATATCACATCACATTTATCCAATACATAATTATCTTCTAAAGTATAACAGAGTATCATAGAATGCTTTTACAAAGTGCCACAATCAAGAGGTGTCACGGAAATATGCACTTTTTGGATCTGTTACAATCAGTGTACAGCATAGACTAGCAGGCACCTCTGTTAATTTTTTTTTTTTTAATAAATATGGCAATTTGACAACAAAAGGGTCCTATGGTACCCAAAGCTTCTGACAACTGTAACTAAACAGAACATACTGGCACCCAGATGTATAACCAGACAATTTTCCTAAGGCAAGGACAAGTATGTAAATTTTTAATTTTACACTTCTACCAAACTTTGAGTGAAAGAAGATGTACATGTGTGCTTACAGCTTTCCTTCCTCCTTAAAGATGACAACAAGATCTGCTTCTTCCACATCCTCTTTAAACTTTGGAAAGGAGCCCCGACTCAGGGGCACTCGCCTTAATGAGATTTTGGATTTCTTTGAATTTTGGATGTTCTTTATCAGCTACCAGCTGCAGCAGTATAGCTTCACTAGTAGTAACTATAATTCCAGTACGAGCAAGACGCTGAAAAGAGAAAAGGGCAGAGAGAGAATAACATGAGATACTCACAAACGTGAATGCGTTTCCATTTTGCAAATAACACAGACTGTATTTTTAAAAACATCTCCTATTAACAAAAATATTGCCAATTCCATTTCTGCATTTCTTAGCAGTGCCATTTATAAAGCTACAATGGAAAGTGACTGGTTTCAGACTTTACTGAGGAAAAATGCTACTGTAGAGTACAAATAAGGCTTCCTACTTGGACAGGATTCTTTCCCCATTTAATACACAGAGGACCCATCCCCTCCTATACTAACAACCCTTCCCCTTGCGTGGTCCCAAGGATAGCTTTCTTCACTCCCAGGCAGATTTGAAAGGCCTGGGGAAAAAGAAAACAGTGAGATCTAAGCTAAAGGCATTAAACAAGAAACTCCTCTTTCAAGGGCTTGTTATGTGCTAGTACTTTGGTCTTAGGACTACACAGCACACAAGTACTAATAACCTCAGGAGACAACGAAACGCTCTTCTGCATACCTTATAAATCATACTGGCAAAACAGCAGCTGCTTTTAAGAGACATCTCATTACAGCCTCAGTAACTCCGACTTTAGTTCTCACAGGCTACAGAATAAAAAGCATTGCTGTACAGAAAGCAAAACTGAAAGAGGTCTGCTAGACCTTGTAAGTGTGCCACTAAACAGAGCAATGCTTCACAGACTACATGGACTTACTGCAAAGTTTTTGGACTTTTAAGGCTGTTGCCTATGTAGCAAAGTAAAAGCTGACTACCCCCTGCCCTCCCATCAGCTTTCCTGCAATTGTACAGATGCTTTGGCAGTAAAACTCTCCATGGAACCAGCTTTTCTTCCATCATCCTCTACTCAGCTGCATGCTTCACCAGATCTAATGGGGTCCTGAACAAGCCATGAGAGCACAAGAGGCAGAAAATACAGATATGTACGCCTTCAGACAGGTTTCAATTGTCATTACTAAAGGAAAGACAAGCTCCAAACTTTCTAGGGCAGACACAGATCACTGCTGTTTAGTTGTTACTAAACTACTAAGCAATTGATGGGAAAAGTTATTCATTTTAGGAGACTGCTAAACTATACGTAACCACAGTCTATGTAATGACAAACTAACTATGCTAGATTTATTCAGGTCAATGCTTCCTGCTTGCAATAATGGCAGTAAGCCTTGTGATACCCTTAAGTTGAAACAAAGCACATAGCTTCTCTAGCTCTCTTACTCTGCACAATGACACATTTGTTTAAACCACATACACATATAAAAGAGAAAAATAGGAAAATCAAAATGAAATATTATGGCAATGTTCTCAAGATGTACTTCTCCAGGAATACAAAGTTTTTTCTTTTAACTAGTACAGAAGAAAGAAAAAACAGACTGTTAAAGAACCTTGCCCTCTGAGAAATGGTGACTGAAAAAAGATAAAGTCTTCTCTTTAGAAGCAAAACATAACATAACATGTGAAAGAGGCTAGTATTGGCTTATACCCTACTTCTAGGACTAAGTATAATTTATATAGTCTCAAGATTTATAGGAATGAGAGATGCACATGCTAAGCATACTAGATGATTTTCAAGGAAAGGAGAAGTTTTCTTAGAACATAGTCTTTCAGATGAAGGAAAGCAGCAAGGGTGCGTTGCATCTACAGCATAGGAACCAGCAGAACAGATGTGGAACAGAAAAGACAGTTACCTAAAACTGACCAGTTTGTCTGGTTTACAGGTTTTGCAACCAACCAGGCTTTTAACACAATCGGTATCTTTTTGACTAGAAAGAAAAGCAAAACTAGCTAGTCACTGTTTTAACCTCTGTTACACTGAACCAACTTCTATGCTTGGAGATACAGCATAAGTGATAATCAAATGTACAAAGAGGTAGACAACAAGGTAAACAGATTTCAGGTTTTCTATATTTGTTTTGTCTACTACTGCTGCTGCACCACATTGACTTGGGAACTACATTATTTCAGTCATTCCTGCACTCTGTGTGCGTCACTGTGCTTTACGTGACAGATGACATTAAGCTCCACTTAATCAAAGTCATGGGTTTCATCAAACACTGTATGTTGGAGATTTTCCTTTAGCCTTTAATTCTCTGTTTTTTGAGAAACAGAAGAAATTAAAAAGTCTTCTCCAAATCTATGAAAGATGTATAAAATGCTGTAGTTATTATTAGTTTCAATTTCCAAATAATTGTTAGGGCCTGAGGCAAAAATTGCAATTCTTAATGTATATATGAGTTCTTGATTTCCAACAGCAATGCCTGTAGGCAAGTTAGAGAACACTATCCAAAAATCGTTTGCATGATTTTGCTACCACATAGTCGTACATGCTTTTAAATCTTCTTGTTATATTTATCTCCACTTTCTCAACGTTTACTTACACTAAGATTCTAGAAGGGGTGGGGGGGAGTCTTTATTACAATCACAGACTTTGAGATTAAGCTTTGATTTGCACTAATGAGAAAGAGTGAAGGGAGGGACAGACATACAAAAGGAGCTTTGAACACGAGCACTTGCTATATTCCATTGCATTTCAAGGAATTTCAACACCAGAACATATTGTTTGGAACAATGAAACCAAAAGCTCTGTGGCATTTTTACTCTGCTGTACAAATAACACTCCATAAATCCTAAAATGCTAATGGTTATACAGAGTAATCTAGATTGCACGAAACAATCACTTTTAAAATCCAAGTGTCCCAAACTGGGTTCCACATATTAAATCAGAATTTAGGGAGGAAACATAAGGCAGTAATCCTTCTCCACCCTGGAAGCTATTCTGAGAATCAGAGCATTGACCTTTTCTCAAGTCTACATTTGTCCACTGCTTACTGTCCTTAGAAATTCCTTGTTAGCTTACAATAAGCAGGGAAATTACCCCAAGGTAGACAAAGCCTTGACTAAGAAACTTACTTCAAGAGCAAACATTCTGTCCATCATACTTCTTGATGAGGTGGCATCAGCTACAATATGAACTTCCAGACCTCTGCCAATTAATTCCAATGCTGTTTGCTGGATGCAGACATGAGTCTACAGGGGAGAAATCAAAGGCAAAAAACCCACCAACCATTATTATAAAACATGAGTAGCACAATGCCAGATCAGATTACACAATTAATGTTCAAATATGTAGTTTTCTACCCCTGAATTACTAGGGAACTCAATGTGGGTTTTAAATGCCAGCTGAGCTTGAGACAAGAGCCTGTATTTTACAAATACCTCATTTCAAATTTTATTATGAGATAATGTCAAAGAGAAATAACACAAGAATAATTTAATCTGTAGAGGAAACCTGAGCTCTAAGCAATATAAATTGACTATTTTTTTTTTTTAATTACAGAAAGCAATGCTTAATACTATTGAGGGCCAACAGACATTACCATAGAACAATACAAGAATAGCAAGGCACCTACTTCTACTCCAAACAGGACAACACTGCGGACTCCAGGGATCTCTGCTAATGCTGCTTCAACTTCTGGTAGCACCATTGAAAATTTTGTTTTGGGAAGCACAAGTTTAGCTCCTGTTAAATCTATTTCTTGCACAGTGCTGCCAAGACCTTTGGGATACTGTTCAGTTACAATAACTGGAATTCCTAAGAGCCGTGCACCTTGGAGCTGCAAGTGGACAGGGAATAAAGTATAAAAGAAAATAAATTATTGGACAACAATAATAGCAAAGACATTGTTATTAGCTGAAACTAAATAACCAGTAAACTGTCTTTGTACAAAATAAAATTTATAACTGTGATCAAAACTCACTAGAAAAACAAGCAAAAACCATACCAGTCGTTGGCCTACACTGATGATATCACCAAAGTACTTGATGGCAGGCCGGAATCGCTCTTGCATATCACAACAGAAAAACACAGTGCTTGAGGGTGTCAGGTTGCCCAAAGTAGTCATCTGAAAAATGAAATAATGTTTTCTGTAGCAGTGAAGAGCCTTTCAGAAAAGCAGCAGAATGAGAAAGAGTCTGCCATGTCTCTGCCAAGTAACAGATTTATATTACTTTACGACAAAATAGGAGAAAGGTTTTTCAAGCATGATTTTGGTATGTTTCTAAATTCAAATGAACGGCTGAGACTGAGCAGCATAGTACATTCAACAATAGGTAACCAAGATTTTATTAGGTGGGAGGCACAAGCCAATGTAAATGTACATGGAAACTTCTGAACTCTGAAGGTGGGCAGAGGAGCACACAGCCTAAATGACTGTAAAATATTAAAAATACCAACAACAAAATTACATTCCTCAAATTCATTTTTGAGCCTACAATTCTTGGAACTGACATAAAATTGGGATAAATTAAAGTTAAAAAAAGTCAGGCTTCCACTTGCTTGCCATACTGCATGTACATATATTTTCATAGTTTCATTGTGTAGTCAGTTTGGTTTGTCTATGACATCCTTTAGCATAAGCCTGATGAAAGTCCAAAGGGTGGAATGAAACCAGAGACACTTGTCAGTATTATGATCAGAAACTGAACTGAATACACTTTAATGACAAAAATAATCTACCAGAGTTTCCCTCATACAGGCTACTGAGTGGTGTAGAAGGCGCGGGGGGGATGGGGGATAAGGAGGAAAAAAAAATAAAAATTCAAAGATTGCGTTTTCTGGCACTTTGAAAGAGTGCTTTGTATCTGTGTGAAATTACTTGCACTACCTGCAGAAGCAAAGGAAAAGGCTTCAGCTGGAGGCTACAGGGAAAGAAAGCAGCTAGATACTATCATTTAGTCGTAAGGTAACTAAAGAGAAATTACATCCATTCAGGAGCTTTTCAGCAGACTGATGAATCAAATTGAATAAACTGGTTCTGGGAAGTAGCCATTAACTGTATACACTTAATTTTCTGCAAACTGAGGATGTGATATTTTAAACTAAAACAAAATTACAAAATCTGTAAAATAGTGTATTTTGGAAAAGCAGGGATGTATTTGGTTTACTTGGCAAAGTTTTGGTAGCGGTGGGAAGCTTCAAGGGTGGCTTTTATGACAAGATGCCAGAAGCTGCTCCACAGCCAGTGCCAGCTGGCTCTGAAATGGACCCGCTACTGACCAAAGCTGAGCTCATCAGTGATGTTGGTAGAGCCTCTGCAGTAACATATTTAAGGATAAAAAAAACCCCTAGCAAACCAAAAACAAAAAAACAACCAACCCACTGTGCAACAGCAGCTGGGAGAGAGGAGTGGTAACAGTCAAGAGAGAGAACTCTGCAGACACCAAGGTCTGCAAGGAGGAGGAGAGGTGATGCTCCAGGTGCCGCAGCAGAGATTCTTCTGCAGCTCGTGGCAAAGACCATGGTGAAGCAGGCAGTCCCCCTGCAGCCCATCAAGAATTGGCTTTGCATAGGAGTTAGGGAGGGCAGCCTCCACATCTCTCTCCCAAACACTTCTGTGATTCTACACCCTATAACAAATGAGGCCTGGGACCAAGAATGCCTGAAAATAAAATTCAGTATTGAATAACTGCCTTGTTCTTGGACACTATCCATGTGCTTCAACAATGCAGGGGCCAGATGGTGGGAAGTACTAATGTACAATTCAACACTACAGTGAGCCATTTTAATTCTGGCACTTAACTACCATCAGAGCAGTCAGTCATGACATTTAACTTTCCTACTGCTCAGCAGCAAAAATAAGAGTAATTGGAATAGACAATATTTCTAAATGTGCCTCCTACTCAGAAAACATGTTGTTTTGTCTTGGTATTTATATGACAAGCAAAGACCTTTATTTTTTTCTATAAATTATTCCACCACTTTAATATTTTTATGATCATTTTGAACTACTGTAAACCATCATGGATTCGTGGAGTTAGTATGCTGCCTTAGTATACATTTCCTTCCAAGGCAGTGGATGGTGCTACCATCCTTAACAAAAAAGCATGTGTGAGTAGACTAGGAAGGCCTTCAAGAAGCTGCATAGTGTGCCTTTTCAGACTGATCAACCAAATGCCAATATTCTTCACAGATACGTACCTGGTCTGACCCATCAGCAATACATAATTTCCAGAGCTCCTATGCAATCCATCCTACAGCTCTGTTATCTTTGCTTTGCAGTGTTTTCTCACCCACAGTACTTTTGTTGGCATTTAAGAGCGCTATTTCCAGTTCTGTCCACGGTGGACTCGAAACACAAGAGTGTTACCATCCTCCTTCACATGCATAACCATGCACAAATACCTACTACCATACCTCAAGACTCAAATCTCGTCTCCCTTTAGTCCTTCCCCTCCCCTCCCTTATTCTAAAACATATCTAATACTTTCAGTCTTTCCTCCTACAACTCAAGTAATTTTCATTGCCCTCCCTGGGCTGCTTTTCAAACTGCAGTCTACAATGAGGCATCCAATAATGCTATAACAGTAGTACTTCTCTGCCCGTAATACTTCTCAGCACTAGTAGAGCCCCAGAGAAGATCAGTCAATTCACAGCCCTTGCAGACCCTCTTCAATTTGTACTTTCCAGTACACTATTTGCTCTTTTCACAGTTGATGATACTTAAAGACTCCTGAGGTGCATTTTAACCTAAAAATCCTCTCTTGAACTCTCCCTCATCTTTTATTTGTGCTGTGGATTATTTCTACCTTAGCATAGGAATTATTTCTACCTTTGTTGCTTCCATTTTCACCTGTACCTTATTCCACCTTATTTCTCAAGCTTACCATGAAAAGCCTGAATTCTGCTCTCTCAGATGCCTACAGTTTGCCACCTTCTGCAAAAACAGTATTTGCCCTAGGTTTCAGCAGTGACATGGATGACAGCATATATACAAACAGTGGATTCGGAACAAATCTTATAGAGCCAAATCCAACACTATTCTGATTTGACAGTAAAGCATGGAAGAAAACCAACTGCTTTTCCAGCCCGGGAGCATTCTCGTTGCAGACTTTCACTGCATCCATAATCCCATGTGTTTGTGACAAATATCACAGAGAGCTGGAGCAAAAAAAGCCTTATGTCTGCTTTTCTCTATTAACAAGTTGGTTTAATATGATTTAATTTATGCCTTCAGTTTAATACTCTAAAATAAAGTTGTGTCAACTATATATTTACTAAATAAAAGCTTTTACAAAATCTAACACAAATAATTCCTATACTGATTTTCATATTTATTTCTGATTAACTTGCAGTCTGAACTGAATCATGCAAGAAGAAGAAACTGGAAGAGAAAGATGGCAAGGTCAAGAAATCAACACTTGCTGGTGTTATGTGGGATAGCAGATGTGGGAAGGAGAGAGTGCAGCAGAAAACAGTTTGAAACTAAGTTTCATATATAGTAGCTAATGCAGTCCACAAATAAATTCACAGAATTGTCTGCTACACATAAAGTTTCTGTTCACTGCTTCTTCAATGTACCACATAAATCCTACCAACTCACCCGCTCTCAAAAGCTGTCCTTCCCTTCCACGGCCACACCTCATCAGGAACATGGGGCATCTTCACCTCACACATTCCCTGACAGTGAAAACCCCAACCATCTACACCCTACCACTGAGCTGGTGTGGTGGCAAACCTACATCCAAACATCAAACCTTGGGCTGGCACACCAGCCCTGTTTGGTTTCACTCTGGGGAGAGGCAGGCTAGGCAAGGACGGCAAGCCACCGCAGCCACACAGTACCTGTCCGAATCCGCCTCAAATATAACATCTACTCAGATGTGGTATCATTAAACAACCTAAATTTAGAAGGTAAAAACCCAAACCTCAAATCACCTGAAGTTCCCACACACAGTATACAAGCTTTTCAATTTGTTTCGCCTCACCCCCCTCAGTCAGTCACCAGGACTTTCTTCCCTCCAGCTGGAAGTAATCCACAGCACAACCGGAATAGGTACAACGGACATGTAACCTGATGCAGCTCTTTTACCCTGCTAGAGAAGTCAGCCCTAGGACCTTGTCCAGAACAGGATTTAAAGTTATGCTATCATGACTTACACAGAGCTTTATATCCTACTCTAGAAAAGGTGTAGGTGGGAAAGGACAGGTGTTTTTTTCACATCTATTTCATCTCTGCTAATTATTATTAATCATACAAAATGCAACTGTGATGATGTACTGTAATTACAGAATCTGCTTACAAAAATATTAACATATACTAGCTCGTTACCTGCACTTTCCCTGTTCAAACTTCAGGAAACAATTACACACATAAAACACAATTTTTCCCCAGTATTTGTAACGAACAAAAAAGCAGAGAAATAATCCCATGTGACATCACTAGTCACCTCATAAATCTCTTGCCAAGGTTACCTAGTAAAAGGGCAGAGTGGAGGACCTCATAGCCTTGGTATTTCAAGGATGGCATAAAAAGACAACAACAAAAAGAAGCTAACTATCATATTCTCTCCTTTATTTCTAAAAGGAAATCTGTAAAATTCAGGTTTACTTTGTTGCTTCTCTTTCAAAGGAAAAAAATTGAAGAAATTCAGTTTAATGTATTTCAAGGGAAAAATAGGTTACAAGTGTGTAAACTTAGGAATATAAATATTTCTTTTATGCTAAGCCAAAATGCAGCCTCTTATATGCAATTCATTTAGAAGGGACAGATTTAGTTAGATAAGCACATGATGTTGATATAATTCAGACAGTATAAAATTCTTCATCAAACCCCAAAATTATCAAAATGCTTGCTGCAGAGAGATTTACAAACAAGGAGTCTGGATTTCAAGAAACCTCTCTTTCAGTATTTTCAGTCCGTTTTTTCCCTTCTTTAAAGTTCCAAATGCTGCTTTTTAAAAAAAAGTATTTATTTAGAAACATATACTTAATTGTAGTACTAAGTACTATAATTTACTTATGCTTTGGCTTATTTAGAAACATATACTTAATTGTAGTACTAATGTACTGTAATTTATTTATGCTTTGGCTTTTCCTGGTCTTCAGAAAACAGACTTAAGCCCC